TTTTCCTCTATCCATCTATTTTGTGCACTTATCGCTCCAACTACTTTCCTTACTTTACTGGCTTTTCCTCAGCTTCTCATTTCCACTCTATCTTACCACCCCACTCTTCTTTACAAAAGTATTTTAATCGAGGACTTCGATACTTACACATTTATTTGATTATCACTTTCCTTACGAATTAATTACGCACATAGTATTCGTAAGGCAGAGAGTCTACCGAATACTTTCGTTAAATAAATTGTAGATTGCATAAAAAATTTGCGAAGATTGGGGGAAATTTACTATGCCATCGCTAAGCTAACAAATACCATTACACCTACAGGCTCTTGTTGATGAAATTATTAATTTTCTTTATTGCACGCACGAATGATCGATTGGCTGTTTCTTTGACGAATGGCACGACTTCCTTGCCCCTGATAAGAATGGTAAAAAAATTGTATACGAATCAGAACGACCGCTAAATAAATATTGACATGACAGGCGCGCATTAAGAAAAGCACGAAAAGCAAACACTCGTACAGCGCGATAAGCATTCCATAGACAAACGAAAAGTCTCTCGCCGTATTAGCTGCGCGCTTAGACTATTATAATAAGACGAATAACAATTGCGCGCTATTAGTGTGCCGCTTGTCGCACATAATCCGTCGGAGACAACGCCTCCAAGCGATAACCGCGTCACTAAAACCAAACGACGAGAAACGAAAGAAGCCGCAGCGGGGCGCCGCTCGAGATCGGAAAAGGTGCGCGACGGCATCGGCGTTCAGCCCCACGATTGGTCCACGCGGTTGCCGCGCGAGCATCAATATTTATTCGACGCGGCGAATGCTCGTCGTGGGACCGCGGGACCGCGCTCCACCCACCGGGTGCCACCGTCACGCGGCCCCCGAGTGATCCAGGCCTTATCTCGGCGCCGCTCGCGCTCGGCCCGTCGCTCATTGTGATTCGCGGCGCGCACCAAGACAATCGAGCGCGCGAGTTGGCGCTCCTGACGATATTGGGCCGAAAGCCGGCGGGCCCGACAAGAGCCAAAGTGACGTACATCACAAGGTGCATTCGAGGGATCTTGCAGTTGTAATAATTGACGCTGAACTTACCGGGACTGCCGAGGAAAACGGAAGAGTAGAGGACGCCACGACGCGCTGCGTCGCTCGCCGCTCTTTGCGCATCGGGCGGCGAACTCCAATCTCTAGGACGTTGACACCATTTACCTGCGAATTCAAGAACAAAGCATTTATTTACGAGCTGAATAAGTAGAAGGGCGCGTTTCCAACTGGCGCCGATCGTATTGGGAGAAACGCATCGTCGATCCTCTGCCGGCATATCTAGCACTCGACGCCACGAGTCCTTGATAACGCGGGTCTCGGAGGGGCTGCGTATTGCCGATCTTAAGGGCATAGAAGAGGCGCGGGTGGAAGGAGTCGCGTCTTGCGAAGCGGCAATAAGGGCAACCCATTCGCAAAAACTAATAAAAGAGATTTATCGTGGGGTTGCTCGCCTTCCTCTCTTTTTATGTGTTTAATGTAGGAATAATGTTGTATCGGAGTGTGTAACGGGAAGGTCCTTTGGTTAGGCCGGTCACGTGCACGTAGGCCGAGGCGCCGGCGAAGCACACTAACCGCGAATGTGTGGGTCGATCGTAAAGGTGCGAGCCAGTAAATCAAATTCCCATGAAGGCGCATATGCCGGGAGGGAGTGGGCGAACATGGAAACCCGCGCCACGGACCCCCGAGCACGTGCGCTTAAAAACCTATAACGGAAGTTATGACACGCATTATGGGTCCCGGTGTTTTTCCGGGCACGACGTCGCGGGAAAACTCCTCTGTCGCGGCTTATGGCTCCGTGGAGCGCGAGTCGCAGTCCCAAGCGAGTCGCCTCGAGGGTTTTATTTGTCATTACGTCGCTGAATGAGTTACGTTTATTTGCCGTAGGATTCCCCGCTTCTTCGTCCCCCTTAATTTTGTAATACGCTATTTCCATTATTGGCCTGCTTAATTTGTCCGCCGTTCCCGTTTTCGTGGTACGGTGAAGGAAGACGATTAGGTGATGTAGGAGGAGGAGGAAGGCCGAGATCGTCACTATCGGAAAAATTCGTTAAATATCGTTAAAGGATTTAAATTGTCAAGAATCATTTTCTTTGCGAATAAGAGCAGGCCGAGTGTATAAGTTGCAAAGTTGCACGAAATTAAACATTTATTCAATGTATTAAGCGACAAGGGCAATGCTCTCGCGAGACAAAAGCAGAATTGCACCCGTACATAAATAATACGTGATTACGCGTAAAAGGAGGTATCTTGTGTCAAAGCGAGGCATAAATACGATCGCCTCTCGTCATCCTCGTCGAATTATCCCTTTTCTTGAAGAAACAAGGGACCTTGGATAATTAGCCAGATAAAAAGAGCAGTGCGCGGCATGAGGGGAAAGGCGGAGGCCGAGTAGGGTGGGATGGCGCGGATTGGTATGGTCGAGGCTGGGGGGGTAGGGGATGTTGAGAGACAAGTAAAGGATGTGGCGGAGAGTGTAGAGTGGGAGAGAGCGAAAATAAGTGTGAAGCAAATAAGTTCTTAATTGTCAGCGAGTCGGGCGATTTTATCGCGTGACGCTCATATTCCCCTCCATCAGGCTATTATTGCGCTTTTTAGCGACCTTTTTTTCAGTGTAGCGCGATCTTCGGGCAGCGCGTGCGTTCTCGCGAGCTACGTGCCAGAATGTGCGCGGAATAAATAGCCCAATTACATTAATTGCATAAGTGCGCGAGGAACGCGCTATCTGCGCCGATCGTTGGCTGCGCACGCCACGGACGCGACGTCGACGCGCCGTTTCTCCGTAATGGTTCTCTGACGTCCGGCGACGAGGACGAGATGGATGATTCGGAGAAAGATGGCGTTCCCGAGGTATCCGTGCGCGTATTTCGATTTATGTAACCGAGTGCGATTTCACCGGATAATGAGAAAATGATTGTCCTTCCTCCGCTTATCATTGCGCGCTTCTATAGTGAATTCTACAATTTGGGGCGGGGGGTCGAGAATAAGGGGGAGGGGGGTCTCAACTACGCGTCGCGTGATGTAAATCGTTAATTTTGTCGCGCATCTTACGAGATAAAAAATGTTATTTCGTATTGACGCTAGCTCTTTGTTACGTCATTATCATTATCGTTCGGGCAAGTCATTCAATTGTACTCGCAAGCATACGGTAGCCATTCATATTACTTGCTACGTTCTGTCAAGCCTGTCGCTCTACTCACATTGTTTGAAAATTACATTAAATAGTTACAATTTAAGAATTAACGCAGTTAAAGTAACCAGACTCTCTTATTGTGGCAATAGGCGTTTGCAACCAGAGCCATGTAGACGTATTAAGCGGACAAGTAGTCGAGTGACATTTGGTTGACTCAACGAGAATCACGGCTCAAGAGCGTACTAATAGGTTTTTCGATATCCTAGTGCAATTCGATTGAAAAATAGTAATAATTGGTTAAATAATTTGAAATTAGCATGCTTTATGAAACATCACTGAATGCGTAGAGACTACATTACCAATGACCGATTGTTTATGCGTTTAAACGAGAGTTCCTCTTATTTAAAATTTATGATTTATCTTGAGCACTATTACATTCCTATTTACTTCAATGACTATTGTTATAGCCTTCTCTCGATAAAAAATGACGTAATTCTAGTTATTAGTTTATTTGGCTTTAAAATATCCCTTCAATTCCATGTAAATGCATTTCATTGATTAATATGTATGTTTGTAATATCATAGAATTTTTAAGAGATAAAGCAATGTAATAAATAAATATTAGTATTTGTATAATCGATGGCTTTAATGTAAATGAGTAAAAAATTAAATTGCTGGTCAACATTTATCAATCTGCATACTAAATGGCATTCAACTAGAAAATGTAAACGTAAATTTCTGACTAAAGACCGAATGCACGAATGATAAAGAAATTTTAATTGAAATTGTATGACACGTACTCGATAATAGAATTGCAAATTCAAAGGGACAAAAGCAAAAACCAATGTAAAAATAAATATTTATATTTCTTGAGAATAATGATAATGATGATTAGGAGAGACGCTTATGCTTTATAAACCAAGCATCTTCCAAAGCACTCAAGGCCTTTTTAACCCACTTGTATGTAGCTTAATAAAGATTTCCTATTCAATTGGCTAGAGCAAGTTCAAGGAATCAGGAATAATGAGATATCTCATCTACGGAGGAGCGGCATCGGGGACCCGCACATTTATACGTATATGATTTAGTCAAGCGCAAACGACAGAAGAGACAGGGCAGATTTGCAGACGGTGAACGAATTCGGGGCCGCGTACGAAGCGGCAATTTTCCAGATGCGAAAATAGAAGAGGCATATACTTTATTTCCAGGGAGATCCCATCCGAATGAGAATACACCGGGCGAGGGTAAGCCGCGGAGCAAAGTAATTTTACACGGGGAGCGGCGAGACGGAGAAGGTTTCTACGGGGGGGGGTGGGGGAGATCGCGGCCTTATCTCCGAGATGCCGTGGCGCACGATCCCCGGGTGCGAAAATTATATTCTGGAAAAGCAGAAAATTGCTTCCCGTTCGACAAATTCCGAATTTCGTGCCCTATCGACGGCCGTAAAGATCGCCCGCGAAATTACACTTCCATCAATACAACGGGCACTCGACTGCGAGTCCCCTCCTGCTCCCCAACTCGCCTTATTCCTTTTTAATTCTCTATTATTGAAAGGAGTCTTGACTATCTTCTTTACTTGTGTCGTTAAGGCGGTATTAAACGTTTTACTTTCGCAGGTATTTAAGATGGCAGTCGTTACCCCATTTCATGGAATATAAAACTGCGTACTGCCCGAGAACATATTGGAAAAGCCAGAAAATTTATTACTGTACCTGCTGATACATTCTTTTGTTATTGTGATACAATGGAGTTTAACTTACATAAAATACAGCATGGTATTAACTTTAATCGATTTTATGCTTATGAAATTTATGATTTTCAACTACAGTCAATATTTTTTTTTTTTTGTTTTTTTGTTTTTGTTAATATATATATATATATATATATATATATATATATATATATATACGTATGCATCTACGTATGGAACTAGGTACATAATACATTATCTTTTAACGTTCGAGTTAATTACTTTTATTTCTGAAAATTAATGTTATGGTGGGTAAATCGATATTTTCTAAGTCGATGAATGTTACTTAGGAGATTGCAGCGTATTTCAGAAGGAGTTTTAGCATGAAATGTACTTTTATCTTCAGACGATAAATGTCAATTACTAAGGTTTAATAGTATGTAATACATAATTACTTCACCTGCATTGTGTCACCTTTACGATTCAAACTTTTGTATGTAAATGCATGATTGCTAGATTTATATGCGCACGTTCTTATATACAATCCAATATGAAAGAGTTAGGGCAGAGGAATTTCCTACGCGTCTACACTATAGCCGTACATGTCATAATTTTCTTTTAATTTGTTATTTAAAATTTTAGCTTCTAAAACTTAATCGTTAATTTTGTACGTATCGCGTTGAAATGTTCGTTTCGATTGTGCCAATTTCAACATAAAAACAATATATATACTGTCTGAACAAAAAAATCGAATTAACACGATTTACAAGTATTTTCAAAATCTTTATATATAACACGCTTTCGAAATATCAAAGATCTTTTTGACATATATAATTTTCTATCAAATTATTAAAGAATAATGTATTAAATAACAATAATAATGATAATACTAATACTACTAATAATAATAATAATACAAAATAAATAAATAACATTGAATTTTTTATACGAAATGCATAAGAGATTGGGAATTTATACGTAAGGGGGCCAAATCATTGAATTTAAAACAAAGTTCATATTATTATAAATGCTAAATTTTCCAATTAATAAATGAAATTCTTAGAAGTTTGGAAAAAAATATCATTTTGAAATCGTCGATTCTTTAAAATAAAGTTTTAATTGCAGTCATTCTGATAATGCGTTTATTATAATTTAAAAATAAAAATGGGAATTGAAAAACATAAAGTCTGTTAAATTTACAATGATAACGTATTAAATTGAACAAAAGTCGATCGGGATATTTTTCAGGAATATATCTAGAGATAAGCATTAAGGGAAAGAATGGCAAGGTGGAGCCTAAACGCCAATACAATCAAAATTAATCAAGTAGAACCGGGATCTCTG